GTTTGTCTCATGTAATTTACTCAAATCTCCTAGAATCTTCTGTAACAAGTAAAATAATTTACTACGTGTGAAGGTAAAGTACAGTAGAGGATGTTTACTGGAGAGAAAAACCGATTCAGTAATTCTTAAAGTGACGCCACATTTTTTTTTTTTTTTATAAATTTATATGTTCATATTATTAGACTGAGGAAGTCTGTCGATGTTTTGTTCGCCGAACAAGTAAATAATACAAAACATACTAAAAAATAGTAAAGAGAGGGTCAGTTCATCTATATTACTAATTGAATAGAGTTCAAATTGGGTGTCGCGTTTTCTTATTTCACATAAAATCCACGAATATTGTTTTATACCACAAAGGGGTAATGACCAGCGTAGTTTATTATGTGTTCATTTCAAGATCTTTTGTGGGGTATTTGGGGGTTAAAATCGGAAAAAGCCAGTTCGGATCGACCGTCCTTCACGACGTTCGGCTTTGAAATTTAAGTGCCGTCATCATTTCCTTTCGGGGAACCGCATCAATTCACATGAAAAGGGCGGGGGGATTACTTCAGTTTTCGGTTAAAAATGGGTACCGAAGTGCGGCTGGAATGTGACCCACCCCCATTCATATATTAATGCATAAAATTTTCAGCCCACTCATATATGGGGGTGATTCTGAGCACGGAAACACCAGAAATCAGGTGCGGATCCAGGATTTGATGTTAGGGGGGGGGGGGGGTGCAAAAAATATTGTTCTGCGGAACGGAGCATGTTGCGAAATATTTTTGGTTGAATTAGCAAATATTTACGTGCGGTCATCATTTCCGCTTTGTCTGCAAGTATTATGGTCTGCTCAGCAAAAAGGTATACCTTAAAGGGTGGGGGATTACTTCGGTTTTCGGTTAAAAATTGGTACAGAAGTGCGGCTGGAATGTGACCCCCCATTCACATTAATGCATAAAATTTTCAGCCCACTCATACAGGTGGTTCTGAGCACGGAAACACTTGAAATCAGACGCGGATCCAGGATTTGAGGGGGGCGCAAAAAATATTGTTCCACCGAGAGGAGCGTGTTGCGAAAACCTTTTGGGTAAAAATGCCAAAATTTAACCAGGGTTCTGATAGAATGGTGCAAACAAGATATTTCATCAACATAAAAACATGTGATCAAGATTGGTAAATTAGCAACAAATGATTACCTAATCTGTATATTCCGCCTCAGTCAGGCGCACCACCAAACGATGAATTTGGGATTTACTATTTTCACGGATCATAATCACACCTGAATTTCGTCATTATACAGGGATTGACACTACTAAATTCAATCATTGACCAAACAAATATATCTATAAGTAGTTTTCGGTTGTTGTAGGAAAACCAGGACGAATTCAAACAGAAAGATTTTGAAAGCAGAGAAAACTGTGCACCTCAGTTATAATCAGAATATCTTTATCAAATGACAATACGAATACTAAAAATCCAGGCTGAAAATAAGGCGTAGATACTTTAATTCAATCACGGACCCGCGATGTGGCGGGTGTGTTCTAGTTATATATACATGTATACGATGCTTTCCGCAATTAGCTGTCATGTTCTAAATGTTTTGATGAGTTATTTGGTGAAACTTCTGATCAAACCTAAATTTATAACCACTAAGTTTCTCCAAGAAGGTATACCATAAATTAATAGACAACTTTCGAGTTCGATGCATTTCCGTCAAAAACTCTGGTTTTAGTGAACATCATTCGTGCGTTTAGGGGCATCGTCACTTCCGTTCCAATGTTGAGCAAGTGGTTGGAAAACTATAATGCTATATTGCACGAATTATTCGGCAAATTAAATTCTCATAATTGACAATCAGCACTACTGTCATTAGGGAATTGTGATTAAGTACTTACAACACAAACATTATTTCTAGTTTATCCTGCACAATGACGATCACTAAGACGCTTGATGAACCTTAATATAGTGCAGGTATACAGGCGATCCCCTCTATCTGGTAAATGACGTCATAAAGGCGCGCATAATTGACGAGTTTTTTCCGGTGAAGGATGAACTCGAAAGTGGTCTATTACGTTGGGACATATTTAAGAACACATTGATTATCGTCTGAAGGTTACAACTGGTATACACTTGTAATTGACCTTAATGACCTGTACCAAGTTAAGTTAAGCTGTCTGTAATTAAGTGGCTGGTGGTGCTATAACAGAGACAAAATGCCTGACTGAAAACGAATAATTTCAACAGAGAAACCTGACAAATATAAAATTTATTACAAAAAAATGAAATAATATAATTTTGAAAATGTTTTAGCTAATTTTGAAAATATTTTTCCGTCGAATTCCCTGAATCCTGAGCTGTTGTAAAGCGTAGTTTGCGCGAACTATTGATGCTTGCGAAACAGTGGTTGACAGGAAATTCCACGTGACATGTCCTATCAACTGTAGTATAACTAATGAAATGTGAGTTGTAAGTTGATAGAACTTGGGGGATAAAAAATTGTCATTCAAATGACTGACCAGTGATAAAAAATGCAATGAATGGCAGTGCAGAGGTATGGCTGCGTAGCTGAGATGTCCCCGTCACATGCGGAATGAAGGCTGGCTGACAGGGGCAGGCGGTGGGAATATTTTTGGTTAGACAAGAACTGCTAACAAACTGATCGAAACAAGAAGACTGAGTGTTATCTATCAAAATAATTTCAATAGTAATTATTTGACGGCTTTGATCTAACCGCTATCTGACTGCTAAGCTATAAATTCTAGACGAGACACATTAACAAAAACAAACACCCGAAAGCTGTCGAAACACTTCTAAACCAAATTATTTGCTATATATTCAAATAATTTAACACCAATTCCATCAAACGTCAAAACTCTGTATCTGTTCGTTGTTAAGAACATTGGTCCCCATTAATCACGTTTCACGCACGAAATTTATAGTGTTTATTACATTTAATAGCAATGGGTCGATACCGCTGAAGGTGGGCTGTTAGTCCTGAAGGGTTTCATCAGCTCAGTAGTCAGTTCCTCGCTGTTGACATGATTTATAACAAATACTTATTTAAATTATTAAGAAACTAAGGTTCCAACTCCCTAAGGCAAAGTTGACCTTACACGAATTTGGCTATTCTGTTTAGATCCTTTTTATTTTTTGTCATATAAAGTTGCAACGTATTTACGCATCCCTGGCTTTCAAATGTTTTGGTTTAAGCGTTCTTACTGAAGGTAAATCCAGAAAAATGCTGCGGACGCACAAAATGTATGAAGTGTTAATTTCTTCTAACGAGTCCAGAAGTCAAAGTCACCGATACATTTTCAACTACTGTAACTGTAAAAAAAAATAAGAAGAAAGTTGGCACGACCACCTATTCTCCCCGAACCGCATAGTGATGGATGGTTCTTGTAATACCTAATAATATTGCTGAAAAAAACTCAGGTTACTAATACAGGAACCAAAATTGTTATAAATACATTTTCAGAGTCCAAATATTAATAAATACTAATACCCTTTGGATCAATTCCTTAAAAAGAGACACATGTCCAATAAAATTGCTGAACATTAAAACAGTTCCCTTTCAATACATTTTATCTAGAAACCACGCTTCCTTTTTGCTAAATGTTTTCTTAATATTCAAATAGCATGCAACTCTGTTTAATCTAAAGCACCGACCATTTTGAACATATTGAAAGGGGAGATGTTTTAAATGAGTATTGTTTTTTAAATAATACTTTCCAACAGAAACAAATCATTTTTCCACTTTTCTTTTAAAGCAAATTATTAAGAAAAAAATAGAATCAAACAATTTGTTTTAAGAAAAATGCCCCCCCCCCCCCACCCTTTTTCAAAATAAAAAGATGAATCCCTCTGTTCAGGTTGCTTTAAAGGGTTTGATTGTTTATTACATGATCCCTTAAAGTTTTAACACACAAAAAGATAAAAACGAGTTCATGTATATAAAATCTTTAAAAAGGGGTTCATGTTGAAATAATATTAAGTCAAAGAAGAACACACAAAGTCATGACAAAAAATAAAAAATGACGAAAAGATAAACTAGACTAATACACGCAAAACACCACACGGGTTTAACATCAGAAACGACAAAAACTAGGAATGAAATCAGATGTCATAACAATAATACTTTATAAAACCTTTTGCTAAAAAAAAAGCAAAATATAAACAGCATATTTAGGAAAGGTTTCTTGCAACTTTTAAATACAGTTTTATGAAAGGCTTTTAAGAAATTATTTTTATTTACCATACTTTTATTTTATTTTCATCATCAATGTTTTGTAAGTATTGAATTATACTTGTTCCGTTTGACCTAGGATTGATTGATTGATTGTTGGTTGCTTAACGTCCAGTGGCAAGTTTGACCTAGGAAGTTACCCGCTTTGGAACTGCGTTATTTAAATGATTAATGCTGATTGTAAATATTCAGTTTACAAATTATTGAATTAAGACAAATTTAATCTTGCACTATTTCGCCTGTTCTGTAAAAGGTTCTTTGGTTGTATAGTATATTGGTGTACAGCTTTCGGCAGTTTTGTCTCCAAGCGTATACCTGATAAAAGTTCATCTTTAAACACGTGTTGTGTGGACTGTAATTGATTTCTGAATCAGAATATATTGGTATCTGATAACTCACAAAACAAAAATATACCCTTCAGATATTTTAATTCATTTACATTTGTATAATGATTTTATTTGTCGTGTGTCATTTTTGAACGCCAACTGTTGAGTAGAAATAGCGTTTGCATCAATATCAGCGTCTAAAATATTCTCCTGGAGCAACAAGTCATTGTCAAACATTACAGTCAGTAAATAGCCAATCAATAAGTGATGTTTGATTCTTGATTTTGATTGACAAACAAATCATCAGAATTCCGAATAGATTGATCGACATTACACTTGTTGAAGCGGTATCATAGCATTATAGTTTTCTGTACATTTCATAAAATTGTATAAGGGGTTGGTGTATAGTGAATCAACATTTATAAATAATATGTTTCGTTTTTAAGATAGCTTATTTTGTAATGGCACAGCTGGAAGGATGGGAGCATGCTGGAACTATACATTGGCTGGTGAAACGGCAGTTCAGTCAAGGATCATAGGAATCAATAGCTGTGCGTATTCTGTTAACTGTATTTTTCTTTCTTACTAAACATCTAAATACCATGGAAGTAGTTTGTCCAAAATATAATTAATGTGTAAACTATATTGGTTACCTTATTAGAGGAGGGTTGAGCGCTCGCAAACATGTTTAACCCCGCCAAATTCTATTTGTGCCTTCCCCAAGTCAGGAGCCTGTAATTCAGTGTGTTGTCGATCGATTTTCGCTGTCTTTTATATTTACTGCTATACAAATAAATCAGGCCATTGCTTTTCGACGGTTGCATTGTTTTACATTTTGTCATGTCCGGGCCTTTTATAGCTGACTATTCGATATGGGTGTAGCTCATTGTTCAAGGCCGTTCTCTATGTCATTTGGTCTCTAGTTGTCTCATTGGAAGTTTTTCCATAATTATGTTCTTTTTTTTTAATAAATAAACGCTTTCAAAATATAGTCTCTGGTTGATAGTTTTCAGGAGTACAATATATTAACAAAAGCTTGGTTGTCCTTGCATTCTGTAAGTGTGTTTTAAGAATGGTCGGTTTAATTGATAGCATGTTTTAAAACAATTGCTAAATACACTTTTACTCGTTATTTCTTCATACCAAGTGCAAACAATATGTAAGGTTTTTGCAACGTGTATACATTTGTACCTTATACTATTAAGAATGTTCTGTATGAAATATTTTGAAAGTAAAGTAGCCGATTTAAGACCGTGAGGAGACATAAATTCATTGTGAAGATTTAAATCAATTTCATTGATTGATTAAAATAATTACTTAAATGTCCAGTTGCAAATATGTCACACGTATTCAGGACGAGCACAACTTACCAATTAATGCAATAGATATGTTCTGCAAGGTAATGAAGTACGAGAAATTGGGACTGCCAATTAAAAATCAGGGCAGGTTGGATAGGGCATATAATAGTTGCCTTGCAACAAGCCACATGTAGACTCATCAGATATGAAACAAATTGATGTAACTTCCGAACGAGTTTAAGTACTTGTGTGGCCTTTTTTTATGCTGTAAGAATTTGGCAATGCCTGGAGCAAGTTAGGGTCGATGGCCACTAATAATCGCTAAATACCTATAACAGTTGGTAAATTAAGTACATATTCCAAAGCTTAATTTCATCGCAAATTGAAATATTTAGATAACCGAACGGCATACGCTGTAATAAGCAAAATATTGGTTCTATTGCAGATCGAATAAGTTACCATTGTACAGAAAACGGAACATGGGACAATAGAGGAGAAAATTATACACACTTAAACGTAAGCTATAAATAAATGTATTTATAGTAGTTATTACATTATTTGTAGCTTTATATAGTACGAAAAATAGGTCAACCAGATGTCATGGTATAAGAAGGTTCGATATCTTGGCGGTCTTTAGCTAAATACAATGTGTTTTTTTTTTCTTTGAAGTACAGTATAACTGGTTATTTCAAGCATTGAGCAGTTTGACAATATTGTTTGAAAAAATGCATTTTCCCTCGCTTTAAATTGCGATATCTAATCATTCCAGCAACAACAAAAATAAACCAACACAAATTATGTTATTCCTGTAAACATTTTAATTCTATATAATGTGAACATATTAGGGGTCATTGGATTCGTTTTTGCTGTCTTACTCATTAAGGTTTGAGAGTTGTATGAAAAAAAAGCTTAAAAAAAACTTTGATTTTGCAGCGTAACGGCGTAACAAAGTATTCTCGCACTTATTTGTGTCCTAATGATGTGTGTATCCCTCTGCATATTACTAAACATGAAATTATGAAGCTTAATTAATAAATTCTTTATCACTAAAACGAAAAATTGCACAGCGATAACATTTCGATTACGACATCACCGAATGCGATGTAGGTTCGTGTTGCTCAATCTTTATTTTCCTGTACTGCATCGCGACTATTCAGAACTTGACTCAACCTTCAATTTAAACCGCATTACTTTTAATTTTTGTTAAAAGTTTATGATAGCCATTTGAATAGAATATTTACAATAGTTTAATTGCAAAGTCGTAGGTCGTCAAATATCTGGCAAATGTTAGCTTTACAGATATCGCGAGCTTTACCATTGCGTCAAAACTAGGCAAGGTCTCAATATTTATATATACATTAAGTATGGCATATCGAACATTTTATTTAATGCTTACACTTGTTTAATTTTCTAACCTTTTTTAAGTATTGTGCAAACTTTTGTCTTTACTAATGTTCAATAAAATCTAGACAGGATCAGAGAGATATTTAAATATTACCAGCATGATATTATCATTTCTTATGTTTTAAATGTAAAGGATCTTTTATAGTTATCATATATGGCCGTTCGAAGCACTGCTTGTTGCACTTTAAATATAAAGATACCCAATGGGGCTTTATTTGCCTTTTTATCGGTTTGTTTAATTTTTTTCATTTGCGAAAAATGATTAAATCAAGACAGCTGTGAAAAATTAATTTCTTGTGATTTATTTTAGCGCGCTGCATATTTTGAAAAACGTACGATCGATTTGGCTTGTAAGTAGCGTTATATCGATATTATTTAAAGTAATTTCAAAATGTACGGTTCACGCTGTAGTCTGGCATAAATATAATTCTGGAAATATCCCTAACTTACAATTTATAAAAGTCGATCCACTGTATTCATCCGAACGTATATACAAAAGAAAATACTATAAGGAGTCAAATCAAAAACAAACATTTAAGTAAGGAAATACCTGTCCAAAAAAAAAAAAAAAAAAACACCAGTCCACAAAATAAAATACTTAAGATCTCAAGATTGAGTCACACAAACCCAAGAAAAAAAACGGGAATGACCTTAAGTGGTCCATTAAGGTAAACATTTCTGGTTCAAACAATGGCAACCGTTCTGTTGCTCACGACAATATATTTGCAGTTATAACTCGCTTTCAATTATGTAATATTGAATTTGCATTACAAATTACAAATATAAACTTCATAACGAGGTTCGTTGAATGACCTTAAATATAGTGATTCAGTATGAAATCGATCTTAAGAAAGGAGTATTTTTCTAATTTTCTTCTAGCTTTTATATAAAGCCATCTTGTCAATTGGTAAAAATTGCAGATAATCGGAAAAATGTCTTCAATAAAAAAAAAAAGTTTTGTCACCAAGACCATCAACAATATACATAGTATATCATAATTGTTTATGAACCTTGCGTATAACGGTTTTGTGAACTTGCTACAGAAGTATCGTAACATTTCACTGCGTACGAGTTTGTATTCTTATTTCAAATGTTAAATAATTATTTATGAACATTATTGATCTTATTGATGCAATAACGAGTGAATTGTAAAAATGCATTTGCAATACTGTGCAATAAATAGCGACGAAAAGACCAGGCTGAAGTCTTTACGGTTCCCTTTAAAGTAATAACGCAAAAAATGCATTATTTTATTTCTTTACTTTGTACAACACAACGACCAAACAAAGTTATTATAATACTAAAAAAGTGATATTTTGTCCATGTCGTTAGTTTTGATTTTCTTTAGATCATGGAAATGATCAGTATGCGCCTTTTATTTTTCAGGATCTTTGCTTTCCGTCTGTTGCTTAATCTTCTTGAATATAAATGAATTTACTTTATTACTAAAATAGAACATTAAACATTTCGATATAATGAACTGACCAAAAACAATTTCTAAAATTTAATCAGAAGCACTCTTAATGGAAGATTTATATCACAGTGAATTAAGCATAATAAAATGTACATCATACCTAATTTTAAACAAATCGTCCAGTAGTTCTTAGAATATTTATCGACTCACTAGTTCACATTTGAAACATAGTCATATTTATCGGTTTTCTTTTCTGTATTTGAGTGTTTGCACGTTTTCAATATTCATTGCAACATATCTTGTTTTTCTTACAATGTATTACGTGATATATATCGTTTTAAAACCTCAATAAATCATGTTTTCTGCTCTTTGGTCGGGTTGGTATCTCTTTGCCACTTTCCCCGTTTCCGTTCTCTATTCTATAAAAGTACAGCTACCTATTTAAGGAGCAAGATGGAATAATTTTATATGAATAGAAAACAAACAATTAGTTTTTTTCTATTAATGCATATATTTTGTTTGATATGGTATAATTTAAATCACGTCACGTGAGCTTTAATAATTTCTTGACGTTTGGCGTCGGTCGTCCGTCGTGCCAGATTTGGTCCATAAGATATGAGTATTACTTTAATTGTCCTTTCTTTCATATGTTGCTATTTCAATTATGTTTACATTTTCTATGTGTGATACGAATGAAGGCTACACAGAATCTGTGCAAAAAAAAAAAATTAGCATTTCATATTATTCAATTTACATCTATTCAGTTGGAGCCAAATATTTCTTAATATTTAGATAAACTGCAAACGCTTTTGATATTAAACTTTAATTTCCGCAGACAAACGAATAGAAACGTACGTTTTTTATTATAAAAAGCATGTCCAATAAATTCATAAATAAGTTATTTAAAAAAAAAAAATTGCAAATATCAACAGAACAAAGAGTAATCTGTTAAGTCTAGTGACAGCTGAACCCTTCGTATGCCTACGCTAATGATAGGATAGTTATCTTCATTGGATTAAGTTCGTGCTCTAAAACTAATGATTAGGTAAATGTCAATAAATAGTAGAATACATGGGTATACGTCATAGAGACAGAAACCAAACGACACACAAGAGAAATGGATAAACGTATTAGAGACAGAAAACAAACGACACACATAACCAAAATACTATTACATTATAGGTCAGCATAGAGACTTTAACAAAACAGGTACATAAAAGAACACACAATATAACAGTTCATGAAAATCACTTTATTCCAAAATACATTCCAAAATACTTGTGTAATAGAAAACATAGATACATGTGCAAACAAACCAATAGTATCCATTCTTAATAGACTAACGTATTAAAGAAACCAGGTTCAAAGTACTTTGCCTGTTGAAAACAAATCACGCCGTCCTTCACTCTTATATCGGTGACTGTAGTTCATAAAAGATTGAATTCAAAAATACAGAAACTTCATAAAAGAACAGAAAGACACGATCGTGTGCAATGTCCATAACAAACTGAATAGAAAGACACGATCGTGTGCAATGCTCAGAACAAACTGAATAGAAAGACACGATCATGTGCAATGTCCAGAACAAACTGAATAGAAAGATACGATCGTGTGCAATGCTCAAAACAAACTGAATAGAAAGACACGATCGTGTGAAATGTCCAGAACAAACTGAATAGAAAGACACGATGGTGTGCAAATTCTCAGAACAAACTGAATAGAAAGACACGATCATGTGCAATGTCCAGAACAAACTGAATAGAAAGACACGATCGTGTGCAATGTCCAGAACAAACTGAATAGAAAGACACGATCGTGTGCAATGTCCAGAGCAAACTGAATAGAAAGAACGATCGTGTGCAATGCTCAAAACAAACTGAATAGGAAGACACGATCGTGTGCAATGTTCAGAACAAACTGAATAGAAAGACACGATCGTGTGCAATGCTCAAAACGAACTGAATAGAAAGACACGATCGTGTGCAATGTCCAGAACAAACTGAATAGAAAGACACGATCATGTGCAATGTCCAGAACAAACTGAATAGAAAGACACGATGGTGTGCAAATTCTCAGAACAAACTGAATAGAAAGACACGATCGTGTGCAATTTCCAGAACAAACTGAATAGAAAGACACGATCGTGTGCAATGTCCAGAACAAACTGAATAGAAAGACACGATCGTGTGCAATGTCCAGAACATACTGAATAGAAAGAACGATCGTGTGCAATGTCCAGAACAAACTGAATAGAAAGACACGATCGTGAGCAATGTCCAGAACAAACTGAATAGAAAGACACGATCGTGTGAAATGTCCAGAACATACTGAATAGAAAGACACGATCGTGTGCAATGTCCAGAACAAACTGAATAGAAAGACACGATCGTGTGCAATGTCCAGAACAAACTGAATAGAAAGAACGATCGTGTGCAATGTCCAGAACATACTGAATAGAAAGAACGATCGTGTGCAAGGCTCAGAACAAACAGCAGAAAGAACGATCGTGTGTAATGTCCAGAACAAACTGAATAGAGTTTCAATTCTGAATAATAAAAGAAGCAGAAACATTTTAGTCTTGCTTCAAACTATAATAGAATAGGGAATTGATGTTTAAAAAATTTCGATACATAGTATTTAACAACAAAAATATAATCATTATTTTTATCAATAATTCCATGAAGCCAAAAAGGTAATATTTGAAGGAAATTTCTATAATACGTTAGCTTTATGAATATTGTTACCGTACATGCTGGATGCCAAATAACTTTTTTATTAAATTTATGCAGATGGAATCTTTCTCCCGCTATGTATCTCTTTATTTGTGATAAAAATATTAGGTAAAATAAGTGATCAATTTATGAAAATATATATCACTGCAGTAAAACATTTTAAGAATTAAAAGTTGGAACTAACGGGAAATCACTATCTCTCATTTCGATATCATAAATATTTATAAGAAAATAGTATAATACTGTTTGGTTTTGGTTAATTCCAAATCTGAGAAGTGCTTTAATTTAAAGTTGAAATGTTGTTTTCTTTTGTAGGATAATAGTGACGAGAGTCAAGGTTATGTTTATGTATATATTGCTGGAAATGCGTTGTCTTTAGTGCTGCTGACGATTGCATTATTCATCTTCTTCGGATTCAGGTAGGAAGGGATATTGTGTTCATGTTCTGTAAAATTGGTGGGAGGCTCGTGATTTGTGTTATTTACATGGATTTCTTTGTATGTACATTATGATAGGTGAAAATACAGATTGCAGAATTGTTCAAATTGTATTTAAAATATACAAGTGGATCCGTAAATACGCATATAAATTTTGTTTAAGCCTTCAAATAGCAATTTTATTACAGAAATAAAGATTAACATAGAAATAAACTCATGCGAACTATTCATATAATTTACATGTTACCAAACGTCGTCTTCTAATATTCTCGGTCTTTTATGAACAAACGATAAAAGTCAAAGTACTGCCCATGTTTATTTAATGTTCATTTCTATACAAAATGAAAACAATTTCAACTAAATCGTTAGAGCGAGAATGCTAAATTGAAGGATATAAGTCACAACAATACAAAAGTGCACGTAGTATGTCAAAAAAATTGAAAAAAAACTTATCATATCTATAATCAGTAGAAAGGCTCGACCTTTAATTTATATTTTTCGACATTGTACGTTTTTGTATGAATATATTTATAAACCATTTGATTACGACACTATTATGCAATGTTAAAGTTACAAGGATATTTAATCAGATCAAGAGTCATATTTCTCCATTTTCCAAATGACATATTTATTATTCCTTCATATTTTTCGGTTTAAATTTTACCACATTTATCACATGTATATAGCATGTTTTATACATTTTGCTTTCCAATCTTTTGGTTTTGAGCGTACCTGTATGGTGTTATTCCAGAAACAGCTGTTTTTGCACAAAAACATACCATACATACATGTTTATAAAAAAAATAAGAAAATGTGGTATGATTGCCAATGAGACAACTCTCCACCAGAGACCAAATGACACAGACATTAACAACTATAGGTCACCGTTCGACCTTCAAAAATGAGCAAAGCCCATACCGCATAGTCAGCTATAAAAGGCCCAAACATGACAAATGTAAAACAATTCAAACGAGAAAACTAACGGCCTAATTTATGTACAAAATATTGAACAAAAAACAAATATGTTACACAGCAACAAACGACAACCACTGAATAACAAGCTCCTGAACTTGGGACAGGCACATACAGAATGTGGCGGGGTTAAACTCGTTTGAAGGCGCCCCCCCCCCCCCCCCTAACCTGGGACAGTGGTGTAACAGAACAACACAAGAACAAACTATAAAAATCAGTTGAAAAAGGTAACTCATCAGATGTACGTTTACGAAATTGTTTTATATAAACAAAGGTTTGGTTTGGAAGTTTGGCTGTACCTGAAGAAACATAATTATAAACGGAATATCACATCCTAAATATTACGGTTATGATTTTTTTAGAGCCCGTAAATTTCGAAACGATCCATGTAAACCTATCAATACTTTGAATTAACTTATTGTGAAAGGTTATCAATGTAACATATAGTAAGGTCTTTGAATACGGTCGTCATCGATACTAACATAGATATAACTTCTATGATTTTATCAAATTAATCTTTAAAGTCTTTTCTTGTAAAAATAAGGAGATGCGGTATGATTGCCAATAAGACAACTATCCATCTGAGTTCAAATGAAGTGGATGTAAGCAATTATGGGCAAAGTACGGCCTTCAATAATGAGAAAAGCAAATATCGTATAGTCGGCTATAAAAGACCCCGACATGAAAAATATGGAACAATTTAATTGAGACAAGTAACGGCCTAATTTATAACAAAACAATTTACGAAAAAACAAATATGACAGACATGAACCAACGACAACCACTGAACTACAGGCTCCTGACTTGGGACAGGCACATAAAGAATGTGGCGGGGTTATACATGTTTGTGAGCGCTCAACCCTCCCCTAACCTGGGACAGTGGTGTTACAGCACAACATAAGAACAAACTATAAAAATCAGTTGAAAATGGCTTAACTCATCAGATCGATACAAAACAGAAAAACATCTCACAAAAACACAGACCGGACGTGGCAGGGTATTTATACATCCCTAACAGCAAAAGACACAAAGTACAGATCTAAGAGTACTCGCAGTTACTGACAGCTACATTTGTAGTTCAAAGCCAATAACAATTAATAGTTAATAATTAACACATACACATGTTTGGATGTTGGATGTGTACTGATTGATATATTAGTGTATCTAAGACTAATATATCAATCAGTACACATCCAACATCCAAACATGTGTTTGTTCGGGTATTTACTGATATATCTTATGCAAACAATCTCTTCGAATATCAACTTTTTACCAAACAATTTGGTTCAAACATATTATAATTATTATTTATTTACTTTGTCTCCAGACAGTTAAGGTGTGGAAGAGTGTTGATCCACAAAAACCTCTTCCTATCATATGTGTTTACTGGCTTAACATGGATTCTGTACTACAAACTGGTTATACTGGACGGAGATATTATACATGATAACCCGGTAAGTATCTGCTATACTACAAACTGGTTATACTGGACGGAGATATTATACATACTAACCCGGTAAGTATCTGCTGTACTACAAACTGGTTAAACTGGACGGAGATATTATACATGCTAACCCTGTAAGTATCTTCTGTACTACAAACTGGTTATACTGGACGGAGATATTATACATGATAACCCGGTAAGTATCTGCTATACTACAAACTGGTTATACTGGACGGAGATATTATACATACTAACCCTGTAAGTATCTTCTGTACTACAAACTGGTTATACTGGACGGAGATATTATACATGCTATCCCGGTAAGTATATTCTGTACTACAAACTGGTTATACTGGACGGAGATATTATACATGCTAACCTAGTAAGTATCTTCTGTACTACAAACTGGTTATACTGGACGGAGATATTATACATGCTAACCTGGTAAGTATCTTCTGTACTACAAACTGGTTAAACTGGACGGAGATATTATACATGCTATCCCGGTAAGTATATTCTGTACTACAAACTGGTTATACTGGACGGAGATATTATACATGCTAACCTGGTAAGTATCTTCTGTACTACAAACTGGTTAAACTGGACGGAGATATTATACATGCTAACCTGGTAAGTATCTGCTGTACTACAAACTGGTTAAACTGGACGGAGATATTATACATTCTAACCCGGTTAGTATCTTCTTGTTAGTTATCTGGAAAGTTGATAAATATATTAACTCAAATGTTCATTACAAATTTAATAGCTGCAATATAGAAAGTAATAGTAATTCAGGATATAGAGATTTTTTATTTGGGTTTACTGAGATGAGAAGTCTCTGTGATAGAAAATGTAAACATGATACGAAAATAAGTGTGCACGAAACATGGTTCATTAAATAATCGAGAACAACCACAGCTATAGTTCAGTTATTGAATTAATGAAATGAAATATGTTCTTTAAATCATGCCTGCACTGAAGATGAACCTGATCGCACACTTTGTTGGACCACGAATCAACCAACAAACGTGCCCAGTGACAATATCGTATGATACTGTTTTCAGTGCGCATGGCGCTTTTTTTTTAGATTAATATTTATAAGGTACGGTAGAGACCGATATTTCTGGAAGATAGGTACATAAAGGAATTGGAGTATTAAAGGCTTATGCTCTTAGATCCTAGTAACATATACCGATATCATAAGCAAAATAGAAAAACAATAGAAAGGTGTTCCAAACATAGAGTAACTGGCGATGTGTTCTAAAAGAGAGGCGAAAGATACCAAAGGGACATTCAAAATCATAAGTAGAAAATTAACTGACAAAGCCATGGCAAAAAACGAAAAAAGACCGAAAGACATTCAACAGTATACAAAACACAACATAGCAAAACTAAAGACTGTGGAACACAAACCTCTCTAAAAACAGGTGATTTTTGGTGTTCTGGAAAGGTAAGCAGATCCTGCTCCACATGTTGCACCCGTTGTGTTGCTAATTTAAGTACAAACCCGGTGATAAGTCTGATTCAAAAGGTCACACTCAAGGATAAGAGGACGGCATTGTTGTTATGACAGTTGGAACATCTCTGTCGTCATCTGTGAAACAGATATTCGATAACGGTCAACCAACTCGTGATGGCGGCTATATACAAAAAAAGTACAATCGCAAAAATAATCAAATGGCAAAATCAAAAGCTCAAACACATCAAACGAATGGATAACAACTGTCATATTCCTGACTTGTTACAGGCATTTTCGTATGTAGAAAATGGTAGATTAAACCTGGTTTTGTAGCTAGCTAAACCTCTTACTTGTATGACAGTCGCATATAATTCAATTTGATTGAAAACGATGTGTGAACAAAACAAACAGACAAAATAGGTAAAAATGTCAACAATAGGGGTACAACAATTTTCAAAGGAATGATTTCAACTTCACCACTTGTAACTCTTGGTTTGATAGCTTCCTTGAAAGCGGCAACCATTTATCAAGGAAATCATGATACGAAATGCAAGCTCTAGAATATCGTATCAACTAGGAGATATTTACTTCAGATGCAGGCGCTGCTGAAATGTTGCTATATAAGAACCTGTTTTTTCCTGGTTGCATACTACACTAAGGCAACGGGATATACATTGCAAAAATCCTTCATTTTAAGCTGTTTTTTTAATATTTTTAATATTTCTATTTGATACATACGCGAACACGCGTAATTTTGCGTGTGTGTTATATCACCATTCAGTTTCTGTGTATCTTGAATCGGTTCCGTTAACATTTGTTTATATGTTGTAACATTAGAAATTGGTTTACTGGTGGAATAAATTAGAAATTTAACTTCATTTGTTTTATAAATAAGATATGTCGATGGACACAATGTACATGAGATCAACAGACTTACATGGTATATCAGATGACTAATGAATATGAACAACGAAACTGTTGCAGTAAAATAACAAAATTATCATTTTTTCAGTGGTGGTGTCAATTTATGCACGTGTTAGCACAGTATTTTATGCAATGTAATTTTGCCTGGATGTTTTGCGAAGGACTTTACCTTCATACAGTACTAACCAGAGTATTCAGCAATGGAAAAATACTAACATTCATATGTTATGCAATTGGATGGGGTGAGCATGTTCTCTTCCTTTTTATTTCAAAAGTGCATAAAGTTATAGACTTGTTTTGTTTATCATAGCAAAGATGGCGAGTATGCTCGGGAAAGAATTAACTATGTGTTGATCATTTGTCTGAAATAAAAAATGTACAATTTAAGATTTAAAACAAGAAAAGCATTTTATAAAACGAACTCTGCAGTTTAATGAATTTGAATTGGACATTTTGATAAAGATACAAAAGCGTATTATCATTATCTATTGATATTGCTATATATTAAACCCATTCATCATTACCGTTAAATATTATACATCATATATCCATATTCTAAATTACAGTGGAAATGTTTAGTTTTATTCCGACTTTGAAACTTGATCCAATTCGTGAAACCTGAAATATGTGTTTAATACCATATAAATTCCACTGAAATTAAAGTCGTTCAATACCAACAAAACACATATTCAGAAGATAATGGTTAAAATATAAACAGTAAAAACATAAAGTATCAGTTATTAATTGCTTGTAATTATAGTAAATAATGTTTATATAAAAAAAACCCGTAAATTCGGAAACTAGTGACAATGTTCGTATCATAATATAGTGTTCATTAAACAGAAAACTAAGATGCAAAACAATATCAAAATAGCCAATGTTAAATGATAAAGGCTTTTGATAATAACTCTCTTATCTTACAAATATTTAGAAAATAAAAAAAAAAACGATTAAAACATATTCAAATACATTGTTATACCAATAGAGAGGTACATATTAGAAAAACGCCTTAATCAATGGACGCAGAATAAAGGTATTTACCGTACTGATAAACTGATATATCCTCTTGCATTGTACTTTAGAACAAATAGCTTTCTGTGTTCAATTTCTAAAGTATCAATAACGAATGGTTAAAAACCTAGCTTTGAATGTTGTCATTTTTTCACAATGTTTCCAGGAACTGCTCCATGGGAAAACTCTACAATTGGACACCACATTTAATACAAAGGTTTATATTTTTACATCCTACAGGTATACCATGAAAATCTCGAAAACTTAGCCGGTTTAGAATTTATGGTGAACAAGTATATATTTACTTTCTCTTGTGATCATTGTTATAAGCAACAGTTAGATGTACCATACTTCAAATATTTTTTGTAATATATTCATATTGACAAGGAATAAATGTAAAGTGTTATCATGTTGCAGGATACCCGCTTATTCCAACCATTATTTATACTGTTCTTAGAAGTCGCACAGGAAAAGGGTAAGAGTAAAAGGAGTTAATATTATACGATGTAATGTACCTAGCGCAAAATTTGTAACGTTATAAACGAAAACCCGTTATGTCATCATTGTTAAGCGATACATTTTACATACTTTGCTGTCGTTTGATCTTATCAATACATTTGCACAAGTAAATTAGTGTTTAATGGTGTCTGTTTTATTTGTTTGATTTCAAATGATTTATTAAACAATTGTAGTCATTGAGACACTAATAAGGAATTGCTCGGTATTAACAAAACTAGTTTAACCCTCCACCTTTATGTGCAAATATCCCAACAAGATTCTCACCTATTGCACTCACTATCTCTTTTTATTTATTTTCATTTTTTATAATTTCATTTAACTCTGTGTGACTTGAAGCAATATAGAGCGCCGTGTGACTCTATCCCATATGCAGCGCTGTGTGATTCGACCCCTTATAGAGCGCCGTTTGACCCGGTGCCATATAGATCGCTGTGTGACTCGATTCCGTATACTTTGTGGTCGTTGAAAACCACACGGTGACATCTAGATATCAGTTGTTGATAAACTATTGACTTCCATAAGTCTTATTTTGGTAAATAGCCTGTGTTGAAGGATTGTTATCTCGAAGACGTTTAACCAATATCTCCTTTTTCATAATTGATGGTTGATCATTTATTTATTTATTATTTTTGATCTAGCATCGAATATTTCATAAATGAACTGAAGATGAGAATAAGTTCAACATCGAACATTATCATAATGATTTAAAATGCAAATATTTTGGGAAACAAATGAGCAAAGAGTATACCAAATCTAGAAACTACAGCATTATAGATTAAAGGTTGACAAGGATGTTTGGACGCCATGTTAATTGACATTGGTTTAGAGGGTCTCAAGGGAGATGGCATAAACACTTTGAAACAGAAAACACTTCTACAATGGAATTATAATGACTCTAACATAGAAACCCATCATTAGCAAATGTAGATCTGATGTGTTTGTAGTCAATACTTGATCCAAAGTATCCCTACCATACGGTCAAATAATAGAGATTGCATCAAAATGGGACACTGACGGGATAATATGACTGAATATTTTTCTATCACTTGAATGATCTATGTTTCTGGCAACTACCCATACATAGGAGGCATCCAATATACAATCACTTTAAGGGCAAACGATACAGAAAAGATCTCTCGTTGGGTTTCCTTCAGATTTTGACACAACGTCAATTTTGATATGCAAATATACCTTCATTCCTTACTTTTATCTAAGTTATTTCAATTTGCATGTAAAAATGGTTGTAAAAACTTAAAATTTCATTTTGTAATAGCCGGTCCAATAATGATAAACAATGAAATTAGCACTTTTGAAATTATTACACAAAGGGAAATTCGCGGGGATGTTATTTTGATATAACATTTAATGGAAATAAAATAAGAAGAATCTTTAAATCATTGTTTGCAAAGAGATAAAATGTTTTGAAAGTTCCCGCGATAATGAACAGACCGGTGTGCTCGAAACCGATTTAGAGTATCATGCTTAGAAATATCAGGTCTGATATTGGGATACAAAAATTAAAAGAGTTTTAGATTTTGTTATATATAATTTATTTATATTGATGAATAATTAACATCCTTAAAATCTCGGTAATGTCACTGGAGTCTGAATTGATTTTGATATTGTCTATAATTAGAAATGAATTAGTGAATACACAAAGGCTTTACAGAACAACAATCTCTTTAAAATTTACAGCATAAACAAGTACTTTTATAGTTCAGAAATTCATTTAATTTTCCGTATTCGGTACGCAAAAATATTTTTATTTGGATGCATTTATTCATTTGAAAATATTTCATAAAAACAAGTGTTAATGCAGAAAACATTTCGCACTTAAATACTTCTCTAAGCATTGTCCTAACCTATCGTTTGAAATTCATTATACCGTCTTATTGGTTCACGCCTGGTTGTTTGAACTCAACAGCTTCATCTTAGAAATTGATCGAATCGTACTCGTTAATTAAAATCTACATGCAATGTACATTACGACAATGATTGATATTCCCAGAGAAAGTATTTTTACATTAAAAGATGTGAAAACAGCAGATTAAGATAATTTGAATGTTATAAACGTGATTATATCATAAGGTATTTTACAACAGTTGACACCTACTGAATTGTTTTAAGATATATAGTGCTTATGTTTATGGCATTCGACATTTCGACGATTGGTTTTCGTAATTAATGCGTTCCTCCAAACCAATTTCATAGATATAGTGACGTTAATTGCTGTTTGTTTTTCTGTTTGTCTGATAATACAGCATATTAACTCGTAAAAGTGTAAAATTTCATTATTTCTCAAATTATTTGCTATAACTAGAATATTAAAAAAGAAAACGTGTGATTAAGTAACGGTAAAATGTACCTAATCGCTGCTTCCAGTACAATACACTTGGCAGAAAGCAAACGCCATTCTCCTTAACAATAAGCTTACTATTCCAAAATTTATTGCCTATAATTTTCTTCAAATCTTAAAGAATCGCATCAGTAACGTGGACATTGAACAATTTCTAGCTGCAAGATGACAAATACGTGTATTGCCAAACAAATCAAACGTAGAGCAATATAAAATGTGCTTCTATCATCGCTTTTACTCCCCATACAATTGCCAAAAAATCATTCAAATCCTAATTATTAAATTATTTAGATTTTCCTCCTACATGTCATTTTAAATTAATAGGAGGATGACAGAAAGTGAAAATATATACCTTGTATGCATACGATGCTTAGTTTGTATAAACTCGAAGATTTTCCGACGCTGACTAATATTCTTTGGTTGCCACTTTTATGTTGGGTAACTGATACGGATGAAGAATATTTGTAATCCAAATATTGATTAGCATTAATATGATATGTATATTGTTGAAAACTCTTACATATTTTTAGATGTTGGCATGACGAAAGCAGTTTGCAATGGATTATGTATGGTCCCATAGTTGTTTCCATATGTGTAAGTATTCAAAAATATACATGCATTGAGTGGGTTTACATAATTTTGATACTTGCAACAACTTTTTATTTTTAAAATTATTTATGCTGTTTGTTTTTTTACATTTTAAAATTCATTTATATATCAAATGCAAGTAAATATTCGAATTTTTACAGAAAATTTCATACTATCGACTTCAATAATTTTAAATCTGTTTGTTATTATATTCCTCAAATGACTGACACATGCTAAAACATCCTTTCAGAGATTTCTTTTTTAGAATTTTGGTCTTTTTAACTTTTAATTTTTCTTTTAATTCAAACTTTGCATATTTCAGATCAACGTAATGTTCCTTGTTAATATTGTTAGACTACTGATGACAAAGTTGCAGAAAATCCCAGAAGCATCACAAAGCAAGTAGGTTAAGATTTATGACTTAACTCCTTCTGGAGGGTTTGGAAACTCATCAAAGATATTTTGTTTATACTTCAGTACGCCATACTCGTGTTTCTTCTACATAAGACGCACCAGTTGGGCTCGAATCAACCGATTGGACTGCAAAATCAATTACAAAGTTGAAGAGGATAGAAAGAAAAATCCAAAAGGTGTGCCAAATCTGGTTTAATAGAAAAAAACAAAGGATATAGGGTATCTATCCATGACACAAAATCAGTACATGCACAGCAAAAAAACACAAAAAAATCAAAGGAACAGCGCTTTTTTTATGTTCTTCATCTCAAAGTCACGTTGAGGCCTTCAACACGGAACAAAACAAATCTCTCAACTCTTAGACTATATATTCGTTGGGTTAGAAAAACTTAAGTATTTAGAATGAGAAAGAATAACTACAATTGACAATCCGGTATTAGTACATGTATAACCATCCCGTATTATTTGACTGGTATAAGGCACTACGATAGTAGTCTGATTGTTTCCTGTTTCCTGTTACGAAATTAACAACTGACTCCGGATTCGAATTGCCGACAATGCATGATTGTCAGGGGACGCTTACTGTGTCGACTCACCTGGTCTTGTTCTGTTAGAAGCTGTTGGGATTCCCAGGTGTATTGTAATTCAAAATGAATGTACAAGTTTTGACTATCGGTAACTACTGTTTGCTGTTATGTACGATAAGGTTTAAGCTGGTTGTTACTTCAATTAATGCTCATTTGAACTGTATTAACATTATTGAAATGTGTCATACACGATGTGGTCTATGTTTATGAACATGCGCATTCATTAACCATTAAAAGATCAAGTAAGTGCTTATGAGGTATGTGTATCGAAAGCATTGTAGGTCACCAGATATCTGAACCTTTCTGGATTCATGAAGTGCAACAACATATGGTTGCAATGGCAAGTTGATGGTATAGATTTTCCATCTAGATTCTCCTACAGCTCGAAGAACGTGATGAATATTATCATTATTCTTGCCGACATCTTCCTTTTTTTATATAAAGCAGGGTTTAAACAGGAGCTTCATAGGAAGAACTAGCATTATCTTAAACTTCACGTTCCGCTTTACAGTAGATGTTCTACCACTGAATAATTCAAAGTTTGGGGATGATGTTGGATACAAATGAAATAAAGAGACCACAGATACAATCAAGTTCCCGACTTGCATCTAGAAATTGACAATAAGGTTCGGTTGAAAACACATGTTTACGACAACAGGGATGATTTCAGCTTTCCCTGTGAACTTTCAATTTCTATGTAACAACATACCAGCAGCGCCTACATAGTGAGTATATAACTCCAAACTGGTACGACGTTCCAGAGCTTCCGTTTTCTATCATAATTTCCTTGATAGAGGTTGCTGGTAACAAGGAAGCTATTAAAGGATTCCAAGTGATTAAGTTGAAATCAGCACTTCAAAAGTTTTACAAATGTCATTATGAGTTGGTTGACCGTTATGGAGTATCTTTGTCACATATTAACCTAGATATGTTACAATTGTGTCTTTTTTTACTCGATTGTGACATCATTGCAAGATACGTATCACCCAATTTATACTTACCATGAGCAAGCTGATGGATGCCACTAGTGAATCAGGATCTGCCTACCCATCCGGAATCTGAAATTACCCTCATTTTCAGTTGGGTTCCTGCTGCTCGGTCTTTAGTTTCTATATGTAGTGTGGACTTGTTTAACTTTTCGTCGTATTTCGTTTTTTGCCATGTTATTGTCAGTGTATCCTTCACTTGGGTTTTGAATGTTCTCTTGGTATTCTACTAATTTGTTTACTATTACTGTTTATATATGTATTGAAATTTGATGTATATTTTGTTAAATGCCTATAAGCTGTATTGTTTTTGGAAATAATGTATTATTATTATATTACCCTAGTCATCCCATGTGTTTTTTTCTTATAAGATTAAAATAGATTAAAAGAATACTATTTCGGTAACTGAAGTCACAGTATCTACAAATATATTTTTTAGGAAAGCAGCAAGAGCCACTTTGGTGTTACTTCCATTACTAGGATTACAGTATCTTGTATTACCAATGAGACCAAGTGAAAATTCAGATTTCACAGATATCTATGTGTATTCTGTGGCAGTTTTGACTTCACTGCAGGTATTGTTCCCGTATTCTCAGACTCATGTAAATGGAAATAGGTTTAATAAAATTGAGATCGGAAACGGAGAATGTGTCAAAGAGAGAACAACCCGACCAAAGAGCAGAAATACGTTTCGGTTCAATGAGAATAGAATATATATATTTGACATCTATTATGAAGAATTGTTTTTTTTATGAAAGCATTCAACATTGATAAATTGCCATTGTTCCATTTTTAGGTAAAGTCTTTATAAGATAACGACACATAATGTTCAACACGTGTCTTGTGCACGGAAATCAGTATCATACAATTTGTGCATTAAATAACCTTTACAACACAGAATTCTAAATATCCATATGATGATAGGAATTTAACAAACAGTTTGTTAATGGTTTAAACTTGAAGCCTCCAGTTCAATAAATGTTTCTGATACATATATTCCGTAACGGCGAACTAAATCATGATGGCGTCCTCAAAACATACGAACTCTCAAATTGAACATTTAAAACTCTTGGTTAAATAGCAACACTGTAAGCAGAAACACTTTATTAAGGAAGTTCTGATAGAAAACGCAGTCTCTACCACCTACAAATAAAGAAAAAATTAAGATACTTTCTATAGAAGTTAAGTAAACACACTTATTGTTATTGTCAGTTTGTTTTCGACTTATGAGTTGGAATATCATTTTGATATCTTTCGCCTCTCTTTCATATTATTTTAAAGGACTTACGGCAACATCTATTTTTTACCATTACATTATTCGCAGACCTCATTTATCGTAACCAAACTGCGTAAATAATTGTTTTCCCACAAGATATGAAGAAGCATTTTCAAACCTGTGACAAGTGGTACTATTTCTGAAGCGTGATGTAAATACACCGTTCTGTAATAGATCATTTGTTTCAATAACGTTTCATAAATTGTAACACTGGTCAATGAACAGTGAGAAATACAATAATCGTAGAATTAATGTATCTGTAATTACCAGATTATACAATACTCATTAGTTGTAAGAACAGGAAATGAAAGAGCTTTAAATAAAGGGATTTAATGATCGCCAAATGATCATTGTCGTTTTACTCTTATTTTACTCTTCATGTAAATAAATATGGCTTCCAAAGCAACACTTAAAAGACAGAAAACATTTGAAAACATCCGAACAATAGTTCTTTCGAAAACATAATCAAACCAACAACGACACAATAGGAACTATACAAGTCTCATGGTAAGTCAATGCAAACCAAACAAAACAAAAAGGAAAACGAAATCACCACAGTTCAAAAAATCACTAAGGACTCATATGTATGTTAATGAAAACATATCAGTTGATAATTTGTTTGTTTTATTTCTAGGGTTCGTTTGTATCCATCATGTATTGCTTTTGTAATAGCGAGGTATGTTCTTTTTATTTCCCCTTATTTGCAGATTTCAGATATCCTGTCATTACCATTATATGTTTTGTTATTACAAGTTTACCTTACTTGATAAAATTTGTTTCATGATTTATCAATAGTATCTCACAATAGAATAATTGACAAGTAGGTACAACGTATCTTTGTTGACAGTTATTTCTTTTTAGTTAACCGTATGCATACGAGTACTGTTACGATAACGATATGGTGATGGAATTAAAAGTATAGACGACATAGTCATATCCTTTATCAAAATAAAGGCTCCAATTTTCTGTTTCGGAAAGGAAAAAAATGTTCCTAGATTGTTTTAGTACAGTTTTAATTTCTTCAAAATTTAGTTCTATATGATGATGTCAGATCTTTGTAGTATCTCAATTGGAAATTTAAGAACTCAGCTGTTGGATATTAGTTTTTAATTTTGGGGTTTTTCGTTGATGCACTAGCATTTGACCACTTCAGTGATTTTATATACCAAAGATTTGTTAGATTTTGGTTAGTTTTATAATGACAAGGGTTGTCAGACAAAAGTATTTCCGATGGTTGTATACTATAATACTCTTTCTTGTTTAAATAACGCAATACAAAAGCAACATAATTCAGAACAAAGTATAAGCGATTGTAAAAAACTATAAACATCAGCCTTCAAGCAAGCGCAAAATAACGGTCCTTAACTTCATATCCAGAAATCAACACCACTTTGCTTATTTGAATATTATACTAAAGAAATCGGATACGGGTCACGGAAATTATATTGAAATGATAGGGGATTTTGAAAAAAAATGTCTGTTTTAACTTTAATTTAAGTGATAGACAGGTTGCCGGGACAGAAAATAAATATACACAACAATATACACCATTTAAACGAAACAAAATGACTGTTGTTGAAAAAGTCAAGGTTCCTGAGCTATTTTAAAAATCGAAGCGAGAGGCTTTTAACATTGCAGTATAAAATACAGGCTAAAATGGCTGAAACGTCAAATTTGCAAACTTCGTGTTGAAAATTGGCTAACAAGGTCATTACAAAAACAGGTTGCCGGGAGTGCCGGGATGAAACTTGAAACTTGAATGTCCAAAGAATAAGCAAGTCCAAACCTTGTATGTGTAGTCGTTGAACTCTAGGTTCCCACGTAAAGTTAAAATGCCCCTATTTCAAGAAGAATAAAATCACGAAAACACGAAAAATTCACTAAATTCGCGTTCATTGTTTTGAATTTGACCGCCTGACAACTTTACGGAAATATCAGAGTGATTATAAACAAGGACTATCTGTGACGGGCAACTTATAATATACGTGTTTTAAAGATTTTAATGATATCAAGCAAGTCCAGTTCAAACTATTATCACGTGGTACAATTCTCATTTACATATAACGAATATTAATTAGCAAAAGTATTACTAATTTCTGGCTATGAAATGTGGGTAGACTTATTGTTTAAATAAAAGCAAGGTTTTAATCAGAATACACACAATAGTATATTTTGTGTTTGGTGCAAATGCTACTACGTATTTTGCAAACTGGTGGCGCTAAGTATCATTGGAGCAAATAAACTGTGGTGTAAAAGGATGCTTTTTGGCACAAACGAACTTCTTCCCATATTTCAATCATAAATATGTGTTAATGAAAAGCAAGATACAAAGATAATTTCAAATTATAAAAACGAAAGCGATGATCCAATAATTATCCAACTTTAGAAATGGATCGCTCTATTGTAGAAGTTATGAACGATCAAAATGGCTTATTTTGGGTTATGTCAGATCCCATTAACATCTTAAGTGTTGTTTCACCTTATCAATGAGTACTTATAAATGCCATATGCTCATTCACACATGAATTACGATATGAAGCTGATAGTTATATCAAAGTAAGTCAGAAGCAACAGAACAACTGGAATTCGTGCAAAGAGTTTAAATCTTGAAGATACATCGCAATAAATTCCATGAATGGTTTAATGGACAATTAAAAGCATGTTTTAAAAACCGCTTTGTCCTTAAGACCTAGGAAACAACAAACTTGGACAGAATTTCGTTTCAGATTCCATTAAAAATACACTTTAAGACTGCATACTACTTGTGTTTGAATAACAAAATAACTCCGTGCTACTATAATTATGAAAAGTGAAAGAACTTTTCTTACATAGACAAATTATTTTTTCAGTTTTTATTATATTCTCTAGGAAAACAGGTTTATCATTAATATATACATGAAAATGTAAATAAAAAAGAAGTTTAACAAACTGTTCAATAATACCCAACCGCCTCGATGGTCTCGTGGTAGCGTGCCCGCCTCGTGTATTGACACTTTCATATACAACTAATAATTTTCAGGAGCTCTAATAACAGTTGTTCATCTTTATAATGACTATGTTTGCCTTGAAAATAAAGAGAAATCACTAATTTTAAAACATGAAAAGATAAAATAGTTTCAATGTAGCTTCTTTTATTTTGATTTAGATCACTGCGATTTTGAAACGTAAATGGGATCAACATTGGTTGATGTATGGAAGCGGGCGAAGAAAACATCGCTGTTCATCTACACATTATACCGTCACTGAAAATATGGCTGACGATTGTAACAAAAAGGTTTGTTACTAAAATTGTGATTAAATTATGTAATTTGATGAATATGGCCCCTGTTTGTCCCTGTTGACTAATTTAAACTCAATATTCATATGAAAGCTTGTGTAAATTCTTAAATATTAGAAGGAAATAGATACAAAGTTAAAGAGGCGAATTTTAAAAGCGCAAGGACAACCCAGAAATGACAATTGAAAAATAGCACAGTTTAACTTTTTTGAAGATGGATATTTTCAGATTATTTTGTCATATCTATGTCGTTTCTTTAAATATTTTAAATGATTTCACGAAAAAAAAGACGAAACAAACTGTTTATCTTCATGAAATTTATTTTATGGAATGTCATTTTATTTAAAGATGTTTAATATCATTGAAAAATAGAATTAACTTTTTGCTTACAATACATTTAGGTACTAGTATTGTTTTTAGAATACGTTGAATCTTATTTTTTTCGTTTTCTTCAGCAAACTTTTGCACTCCTCATGGTGGATTATATCAGTTTGTCAATGTCACATATCATCAGCTATTCTTTATAAACAAGGCAACTATGTATAGTCAACTATACTAGTGAACTGTTTGTTCATTTAATTTTACCAAGTAAATGAGTTAATGAATGAAAGCAAATGTTAAAAATAAATCAGCAACCAAACAACACAATTTAATAGAAAAACATTGAGGTTTACTAACAACAGTGTTTATGCCATGTAAAAAGTTGTATTTCAACCAGAGTCTCGATATAATGATATATTTACTATCATTATTCTTTTCCAGTTCACAGATAAGCCAGAAATGGTGCCACTGCAAGAAACGATGTGTGATGTGTAAATGAAGCAAGTGAACAAAGCACAGATTAAAAAATTCTTCAGGGAAAACGGAAGTGCAAAACATCAGCGATAGACTGAATTAAGAATAGAAGTTTTTATATTTCATTTTTGTAGTTGCTTACAATATAGTGTTTTATAAATTGCAATTTTTCAATGTTCTTTGGTGTACGGAATTTTTCTGAAAATTGTGTCTTAATATTATCTCTGTATATTACAGAAACTTACAACGTTTTTCATTAAACAATTTTTCCAGGATCTTTGGTGTACAAAGTTATTCTTAAAAAATATGCTCAATATTATCTTTGTATACTATGAATGTTTTGTCATTGATTATGTATAGGTATGTACATTCATTAAGGGTACATATAAATGTAATAACATACAATAATAAATTTGTACAGAAAAAGCACTTAACTTAATAATATCGGTATCCCAGATTACAAAAACCAAAGTACAAACGAAACCAAGATAAACAATACCATCTCAAAGAATGTTAAACTGAAACATGCTCAAAGTACTTTAAACCATGTTGATTGATATATAACAACGTCATTCAGCACTTTTATATAGGTATTTATTATCTCACGACTGTACGTTTTAGCAGTTGTGTGATGGTAGAAATTATCAAGATGTATTATTATACTTACTTATAGTGGCCACAATAAAATATAGAATATATTATGGCAGGTTTTTTTTCCATTAAGATAAATAACGTCAAGTTTCCTTAGGCAAACTGATCGAAGGCACACTAACTGTCTTGTGATATACAATTATTAAAAAATAACCCTTGCGCGTCGAAGAAATAACTAGTTGGCTTGAAAAATTAATTTTCGTTTTAGTTCAGTATAATTAAATAGTTATTTAAAAAAAAAGTAGTTGTGTCCTTTATCAAAAGGTGATATTTGAAATTATTATATACATTTTTTTGTACTAGTAATAAAAAGAAGAATATTTTATGGGTTATACAATAAATAGCAAACGTTCTGTATTAGCTATCCGTGATGATATCGATATCGGTCACGGTTTCAAAGACTTTATCAAACCCTTATCTGTATGACGTCGCCATGTCACGTGAAACATCCACTTTAGGTATGTAATAACACACACCGTATCGACCATCAACCAATATATTCTCTCGAAAAGAACTCTGGGTATTAGATAAGTGTCTTGGGTTGACAAGCCTGTGTTACCTAGGTAAATGTGTATCTTCAACAATGGACTCTCTCGAACTTTGTAGACAAGAATAGAATTCAAGACAAAATTTTATTTTTCTTTTACCTTGATTTGCTGATAATTTTTTTTTTCTGATTACAGTAACTCTCTATCTTCTTAAATTTTTGCCAAAACACAAAAAGGGGTAAACAATAGTCATTTAAGGGCAATCACTCTTTTGAAGATTCTACTAACGATTTAAGTTGATGTGTAGATCTTACCTTGCTGACCATTTTTGCTATTTAAAGTGTCTATTTGCCTTTTATAGTTTCAAGCTAATAGGCAAAAACGCAAAGAATGGTAAAAATTGTCATTAAAGAGCAAAGAACTCCAATAAGAAGTCGACTGACGATTTCGGCCATGATGACTTATTTGTAAATCGTGTCTTGGTGATCATTTTGTAGATGCAGATAAGGTGAAAAAAACCTGTCAGGTATTGAATAAAGGCAACAGTAGTATACCGCTGTTCAAAAGTCATAAATCGATTTCGAGAAAACAAATTCGGGTTACAAACTAAAACCGAAAGAAACATATCAACTATAAGAGGAAAACAACGGAACAACAGAAACACTGAAGTGCAACAAAACAAACACCAACATACATAGAAACGAACTATTTGATAACAACTGCCACATTCCTAACTTGGTACAGGACATTTTAAGAAAAAATGGTGGTTTGAACCTGGTGTTATGGCTAGCCAAACCTCCCGCTTATATGGCAATGTTAAAAAATATCACTAAAATGACAACACTACGCGACAGAAATACAGCACAAACAAATGCAAGAACACTCAGCACAGAGAAACGCACAAACAAATAATATAATAGTCGTTACAACATGTAAACCGCAGAATAACAACGAACATCTTCCATTAACGACAGCACAGGACATCACAAACAGTGATGTATTTTTGTAACGAATATATAATCTTGAAATTCATACAATTATTATCACAATACTAGTCTAAACAATTATCATGACTATGACGGTATTGAAAGGCTATTTTAAATAACTGCTGTGACGACGTCATAATTATTTGTACTAACACAATACTTTTTCCATGGAAAATGGAAATTAACTCGACTATACTGACAAATAAGACATGTGTGAAATGTACCGAAAATATAGAATTCAAACAACAAACGATAAGACATAACACAATATCTAACCGAAACCACAACAGAAACATCATAAATTAATACATGAATGTTGGATGTATAAATACCGGGACACGTCGTACAGCAATGCAAATTCACATTCGTCAAAATAATCATATTCGGGAATAGGTCACATTCGATACTTAGAAGACAGACGACATAGATGTTATACCACAATCTAAGACGTGGTAAAAATGTCATTAGTTAGTTTAGACACAAGTGTAAGCGTAATTTCATGCCACCGTGTTTTTATTCCGGGTAACTGTATTTCACTAGAGAATATTGGATGTAAATAGTGTGAAAGCGTTGATCTTGATATATCATTGTTTTGTTTATATTAGACCAGTTTATTGTTTACATACATTAATAGATTAAAATTAGAATAGTTTTCAAGGAACCAGTTTGATTAATAGATATTGACATAGAAGATTTGATTTTATATCGAAGTCTACCAAAACGCAAATGCGCAGAAAAACTTCGGCAATCCAGTATGTATAAATATTACAATAAGTGACAATTTAAAAGCATATGATTTGATGGAATGTGATTAGAAAAATTATCAAAATTTAATTCGTAAATAAAGCATTATATTGTGTTATCATGTGTTGAAAGTGATTTGTAAAATACTTCATGTATGAATCATAAAATATTAGTGTAAAAAATCCCGGTTCAAAGTAACTAGTGCAATCATTCCAGTTACAGATCACTAGTATAATAATTCCTGGTTCAAAATCACTAGTGAAATCATTCCTGGTTCAAAACATTTGTGTGAACATTCCATGGATGAAAAACACTAGTTTACTTTGTCCATTTTTTACATAAACCAGCTATGCAAGTTTTAGTTGATTCAAATACCCCCAAAACATACCAAGCCCCATTTCTTATATATTTCCCCTTCAAAAAACTCTCTGTAGAATCTTATCAAGAACGGTGGATATTTTACACTTGACCCGGATTAAAAACCCTAGTGAATTTTTGTTGGTGGATAAAAAACACTAGGAATTTTCATCCTCTGGATAAAGTACACTGGCGGAATCAAACCACTGTTACACAGACACATCGTATAAATCAACCAATTCGTGATGATATAATAGCAGACTACATTTACATCACTATTATAGTCTCTCAGTATCTAAAATTTATTGAAAAGAATTGAATGATCTGCCAAAAAATATCGAAGACTAAGGTTTGCAAGTTTTACCATCGTACAAATTTAGCAGACTTAAATATAGTGTTATTTCAAAATAAATGACGGTTTTGTGCAGAGTATAAAAAGTTAAACTCGACTGTATCCAGTTTATTTATTCGTGGTACACTTACCCAAATTGTTTTGTAGTTTGGAAAATAAATAAAAATAATCTACAAAAAATTATGATTATCAATAACACTTTAAAAAAATGTAATTCGCATGTTTTATTTGAAATATGACATTCTTTTTTTAATTTCCAAATAATTGAAAAAATTTAACATTGTTCACATGTTGATTAAAGTTGAAGATGATATCAAAGTCGCAATAAATAATCATAGATAAAAAGGGATACACAACACCGAAATAAGACACAAGTCTCTCCTACTAAAGTAATGTTTTCAAACGCGATAAACTTTTTTTATAAGACGAACCTTTAAAACAAAACTTCCGCCGATATTCATGCGACAAAAAAGTGATGTCAGACGGACGGAATCGTAAAATAAGTTTATGCATTGGTATAAATTAATATATTTACAAGTTTCAGATTTAAAATGTACATATGCATGCAGATCTTACAAATGTGAATAAAATTTAATCATCTTTTCTAATCAACTACATTAAGATAAATAAAGGGTCTGATGATGATTTTATTACTTTTGCACATATTCAATGTTATATTTTATGGTATTCATGCGTGTATACGATATGGTATTCTCACTTAAGATAACCGATTGTTTTTATAACTTCTTGTTGAAATTAGAACGATATGCACAATAAAAATGAGGGTTTAAGCCATATTCTAAAATCCTATACGACATCATGAACATATTCATTATGTGCCTATCCCAAGTCGGATGCCAGTTATCAAGTGTTTGTCGATGTTACTGTCCTCGTTATTCATTTATTGTTTTAGAATGAACCAGTCCATTGATTTTGCACTCCGGGTCTCATTTATTGCTTACTATACGGAATGGATTTGAACAATACACACGACTATGCTATAATTTAAATATGCTGTAGCATTGATTGATTCTAATTGTTTCACATTTGTCATCCCGGGCCTCATTTATCGCTTACTATACGGCATGGCTATGAACATTACACACAATAATGTTATATTTTATATATGCTATAGCATAATTGTACTTATTGTAATAAACGTCTTTTCTTATCTTATTACAGAAGACCTACGGTGACCTGAGGTGTTAATTGTATCAATGGGAATCATACATTTTCTCCTTGTTGATATATTCATTGAGACACGCTGTAATCTTTCTTTTTTCTTTAAATATGAACAAAAGGATATGTAAGTTATTTGTCAATGAGAAGGCATTCCAATGACACATAGCTAAAAGAAACATATTTAAGTTAAAATAAGTCTTAAATAATAACACGTGTCTGTACAAACTGTTAATCTTTAAATCCTTGAAAGTCTGGAAAAGCTTTGAATGATTTTATGACCAAATATCTGCCATCAATACCAGTCTCCCTGAATGTCAACAACAACAAGATATAACAAACAATAGACATTTGCGGAAACTGTCATACACCTACGATTAGGATTACAATTACACTTACAGGTAGCATTTAAATCTTGGGATTTCTCAAAGTGTAAAAATAAACCGTCGATCCAAAACAATGTAACGACAGTGATGTTTTTCTGTAGTTGAACAACGATTTTTTTCTAATATATTTGC